ACTTCACAACCACCACAGGCTCCATTACTGTAATCCAGTTAAGTTCTGTTCTTAAGAGCCTGTAGCAGCCCCAGGAAACAAAGACAGGGTCTTTCCGATACTTAGATCTGTCTTGATGAAGTGAGAAGTACTGGACCTTGTTCATAAATCCTTCTTTCCCACCAAGTTACACAGGCAGACCCTGTTCCTTCTTTGTTGTTGTTGTTGTTAGGTGCCATTGAGTCAGTACCAACTCATAGCCACCCTGTGCAGGGCAGAACAAAACACTGCCCAGTCCTGGGCTAACTTCACAATTGTTCCCACACTGTAGCCCATTGATGCTGCCACATTGCCAATCCATCTTGCTTAGGGTCTTCTTCTTTTTCTCTGATCCTCCATCTTACCAAACATGATGTCCCTCTCTAGTGACTGGTCTCTCCTGACAATATGTCCAAAGTATGACAGACGAAGTCTGGCTATCCTGGCATCCAAGGAGCACTCTGGCTGCACTTCTTCCAACACAGATCTGCTGGTTCTTTTGGCAGCCCATGGCACTTACAATATTCTCCTCCAACACCATAACTCAAATGCATCAATTTTTCTATGATTTTCCTTATTCACTGTCCGACTTTCGCATACATATGAGGTTATTGAAAATACCATGGCTTGGGTCAGGCACACCTTAGTCCTCAAGCTGACATCTTTGCTCTTCAACACTGTAAAAAGGTCTTGTGTAGCAGATTTGCCTAATGTAATACTTCATTTGATTTCTTCACTGCTGCTTCCATAAGTGTTGACAGTTGATCCCAGAAGAATGAAGTCCTTGACAACTTCAATCTTTTCACAGTTGATAAGAATGTTGTTTATTGGTCCAGCGGTGAGGATTTTTGTTTTCTTGACATTGAGATGCAATCCATACCAAAGGCTGTGTTCTTTGATCTTCATCAGCAAATATTTTAAGTCTTCTTCACTTTCAGCAAGCAAGGTTGTATCATCTGCATATCGCACATTGTTAATGAGTCTCTGTTATTCTATCTGTATAATGGGGTCAGACCAGGAACTCTTCTAGTTTAGATATCTTGGGTGGCTCATTGACCCTGACACAACTTCCTTTGCATGAAAGGTTGTACTCTTCAAATCGTACCGCTGCACAATTAGCAAAAGAAGCGAGGTACCCATTCCCCAGTTCTCTGTTAGAGTAACTGAAGAGACACAGTAGTGTGCCCTCTGGTGATGCTGGTGCCCAGAGCAGAGTAGGGGCTTGTCCCTCAGAGCAGATACTGAGAGAGGAGGAACCCCTGGGAAATCCCAAGGGGTCCCTGGGAGCCCAGCTGACCCTGGAACAAATGTGCCCAGATGCCTTTCTCATAAGGCCTGTCTCAGGCAGGCACTCAGAGGGAATAAAGGAACCACCTGCTAATCCTCTGATGCCTCTGAAGACAAAACACTTGATAGCAAATGGAAGAACTTAGGTTGGACTCACAGGCTGCCAAGTCATGGAAGGCCAGGGCCTCCGCTTGAGTCTACCCCTCAGATCTGAGGAGGTGCAAGAGGAGAAGCCGATGAATTGGATCCACCAGAATTTGCACTTGACCCCCTGCCTTAGAAGATGAATGGGGCCAAGTTATGCCCATGGCTCGTAGCCTTAGGAAGAGTCTCCTTCCTCCAGACCGGGAACCCCTAAATTAGATCCCTAGTGGCTCCTGGGTATAAGGGTGAACTTCTGGCCACATTTGTGGCCTGAAGAGCCTGAGGGCCCCTAAAACTCACACCTCCCCCTTTTGTCTCAAAATACTGAACAAGAAGAGCTTTTCGCCTCCCTGTCTGGCAAATGTTTACTACTGCTGAGGTTTTTGTGCCTCTCCTTGGATGTCAGCTTGAAATATAACTAGTCAAAATTGCTATGTGCTGATGTGCTATGTGTATAAAGTAAATGCTGGATTTAGGAAGTTTGGTATGAAAAAAGAAAGTAAAATATATCATTAATTTTACATAGTGATGACATGTTAAAATGATAATCTTTTAGATATAATTGGGTTAAATTCAAAACCCTAAAAAATGAAAATAGTAAATTAATTTTACTGGTTTATTTTTACCTTTTTAGTATGACTATTTGAAAATACTAGGGGGCTTCAAAAAGTTCATGGAAAGTGAGTTAAAAGATCATGGAGTTTTTCCAAAAAATTTTTAAGTCCCTGGCATATAGCTCACATGATGCTATTTCCATCTTACGGATGCAAAGTCCAGGCCTCCCTTCCCTGGTTAATGGTGGAACCAACCATAGGCTGTGTCACCGAGGAGGGTCAGCTAGGGCCTGATGTGCAAATAGGAAAGAGCCCTGTGGAGTGTGGATGGGAGGCTAGGTGTGGCAGCAAGAAGGTGGCCAGTGGCCAGGAGAGAGGGGACAGGGCTTAGAGTCGGGTGATGGAGATGGGAATCAGGGAGAGGATGAGAGAGATTTAGGAGGGAATGTCTGAAAGACTGTATGTAGTTCTCCATGAGAGAGGAATATGAATGTGGCCCTGGGAAGAGAGTGGGGCCCCCATGGGAACTGAGAACCCTAGGGCACAGTGACCAGTTTGGACAGCTAGCAGCTTTGCAGGCAGGGAGAGAATTGTTAGAAAGTCATGAGATATTGGGGTTTGACCCCAGGAGAAAGGTGGAAGGTGGAGAGTCAGTTTTGGGGCATCTTGACTCTAATCATGGGTTGAGACAGTGGCTGGAGAGAAGCGAGGTGCAGAGTGAGTAAGGGAGGCATCTCTTCCCTCTTGGACCCACACCAGAGCAACTGAGCCCAAGGGAGGGAGGATGGCATGGTGACAGCCACCTGAAGGTGATACAATGACTGTGATGCTCCTAACCCTGTCAGGGACCTTGACTAGCCCCTTCCAGGGATGGTGGCACAGAGGGTCTGGCACTGCAGAGGACTTGGGAAATGGGAGCTGGTTTTATAATTGTCCTGAGACAGTCAAAAGTCCTCACTACCTAAATCCTTCCCCTTCATTCATTTCTTAATTTAAAACTATTTTAAAACTGAAATTGGCCTCCTTATGTTATAATCACAACCCAAGACCTGACCCCAAATGGAATGTCCCAGCTGGATCCCAAATGCCTGCAGCAAACCCAGCCTCATGCCACCTAAGGCTGGGTCTGGATTCTTGTCAAGGGCAAGATCACCTCTTGTAGGGGATGCCGGACAAATGTGGGGCACTCCAAATAAGGTTGACTCTGTTTACTCCCAAAGACCTCAGTGAGTATCCCTTCCCAGCAACAGCCAGGAGCAGCCCTCAAAGAGTCTCAGGTGGGTGGAAGGTTCAGGTCATTGATCAGAACACAAAGTCTATGCTCTGGAAATGGGCACAGGTTCCCTCCAAAATACTACCTAGAGGAATCAGCCTTTGGCTTGAGAATAGCTCCCTTCTATGGGGTGGGACTCAGGGGCGAGGGTGGCTATGAGGACCCAGGCCCTCTGGAGCTCCTTCTGCAGAGGACTTGATCCCAAGCTCATGGCTACCATTACAGCTTTTGCTGCAGAGGTCTGGGGCGGGTACCCTAACCTTACCTCTGCTCCAGAGGGTTGGGGTCCCTTTAAGACTGGCCATGGACACCCACCCACCAAGGCCTCAGAGATGAATACAACTGCTATGTAGGATTTTCTTGGCTTTCTTCCTGTAATCTTGAAGCGGACCACCAAGGTTTTGTCTCATGGAGCCACTGGGTGGGTTCAGACCACCAGTCTTTAAGTTAGTGTTGTTGGTTGTTAAGTGCCATCGAGTCAATAACGGCCCTGTATGGGGTTTCTGAGGAGTGATTTTTGGGTTTGAACCACCAGTCTTTCAGTTAGCAGTTCAGTGCTTGTCCTATTGCACCATACCAGAACTCCAAATAACATGATTTCCAACCCTCAGAGAAGAGTACTTCCCACTAGACCTATGGTAGCCTGTGATGTTGTTGTTGTCAGGTGCCGTCGAGTCAGCTCCCACTCATAGTGACCTAATGCACAACAGAATGAAACACTGCCTGGTCCTGCACCAACCTCACAACTGTTTTACACTTGAGCCCATTGCTGCTGCCATTGCGTCAATCCATTTTGTTGGGGCTCCTCTTCTTTTTTGCTGACCCTCTACTTTACCAAGCAAGATATTGTTCTCCAAAGACTGACCCTTCCTGATAACATGTCTGAAGTATGAGATGAAATCTCACTATCCTGGCTTCTAAGGAACATTCTGGTTGTACTTCAGACAGATTTGTTTGTTCTTCTGGTAGTCCATGGTACTTTAAAATTTCTTCTCCAACACCTTGGTTCAAATGCATCAATTCTTCTGTGATCTTCCTTAGTCATTGTCCAACTTTCATATGCTTATGAGGCTACTGCAAATACCATGGCTTGGGTCTAATGGCACCTTAGTCATCAGACTGATATCTTTGCTTTTGAACACTTTAAAGAGGTCTTGTGCTGCAGCTTTGCCTAATGCAATACTCCAAAGGGTGCATACTTTACACCCTTTCAATGTTGTTCTTATTAAGTGCCATCAAATTGATTCTGACTCATAGCAAGCCCGTATAGGGGGTTTTCAAGACTGTCGATATTAAAGGGAGCAGAAAGATTTCTCTTTCTTCCTTGCAGCAGCTGGTGGCTTCAAACTGCTGCCTTTTGGTTAGCAGTTCAATGCATAACCCACTACACCACCAGCACTAGACCAGGTTAGTAGTCAAGTACAAACTACTTGTGGTACCTAGAGACTCAGAGGCTCTGGAATACTGAAATTTAATTTCTTCCTCAAATAAGATAAACCAAAGGAAAAATAAACCAGTTGTCATCTAGTTGATTCTAACTCATGGTAACCCCAAAGAAAGTAGACTCCCCTCTCTTCTGCTGCCACAGCTCCTTTAACAAACCCCACCTTCACTGGAATGAACTGCTCAGTGCATAAGTTTCTCTTAACATTGTCTTGACACGTCATCATTGGCTCCTCACTGCCAAGAACAGGACTTGGCATAGTACAGTTGCTCAACTGATATTTGTTGTATGAATGAATGGATTTATTAACACATGGATGGATTGACATGTGAATGGCTTTGGTGGCTGGGTGAAGGGAGGAGGAAAGATACTACATAAGATGTCACCAGGTCTGCCTCCCACAGCAGGTGGCTGGAGGGAGAAGGCCACGTCACCTCCAGCATGCTGGGTACTGATTTTAATGGCCTGGCAATGAGGTGCATGTATGGTGAGGGGCCTGCCCAAGAGGTAACACTGAGAGGGCAGTTCTGCCCACCTCTAATTATTGCTTGAGACATCTGGCAGCACCAGCCTCCTACCCCCAGAAGCATGGGCTTGTCCATCACAGTGTGGGCTTAGAGGGGCTGCTGCTACAGCTAGTGGGGAAGACAAGAGGATGTCTCAGGGGTTTTGGGGTCTTAGAGAGTGGAGGCAGCCCTGGGTTTGGACACTGCTCAACTTCTGTTCTTCCTGTCCCCCAGCAAGCTTAAGGGAGCCCCTGAATAGAAGGTGATGTTAAGAAGTCTCCAGGGTAACCAAGGAGCAAGCTGGCTTGAGGGACTGCACAACATCCCCTAGGCAGGGAACCTCAGATTGTTTGGTGTCTGCTGACATGGAAGCCCTTGGGAAGATGGTACCCTAATGCCAGTTGGGCAGGTGGGTAGCTCAGGCCTGAAAGGAGGCCTTGACCACACGGCCCTTCAGTGGTTGTGGTGGCCGGAAGTTGTTCACCATGTGGATCCTCTCATCATCCTCGGAGGTGAAAAGCAGGCTCCGGAACTTCTCCATCTTGAGGAGCAAAGGAGGGTGCTTAGAATGGATTGGGGCATACTGTGGTCCAATCTGACCCCAGGTGCAACACTTAGTACCCTGCCCAGCCAGCTCTGCCTCTCCCTCCTCTTCCTAAAATTTGTCCCCACTTTTCCCACTCATGCTCCTCTTTGGTTTCCCAGCCTCAGTTACTCACTAGAAGGCCTCTGAATCAGGACACTATTTCACTCAGCTCCAGTTCTTTCTAGCCAAGACTTAATAGATTCCAGTACAGTAGGGATGGACCCAGGATCCAGAGATCACCCCTCCTGATCTGTGTCCTAATGACTAACAATTAAATTGCCCCCAACCAAGAATCTGAAAATTTATTAGCAATAGGTGGGGGCCTTGATGGGGGAGAGTCACACCACCCGGAATGGGTTGAGTGTGGTTCCTTTCTGCCTGGTGCTCTAGGACAACCCACCTGCCTCTCAGAGATGCAGATGGGCTCCCGGAGCACAATCCAGGTGACGCTTTCACTCAGTGGAGGTGTCGTCAGGGAGCCAGGGTAGGTCCAGTAATGCCGGCTGGTAGGCAGGAGGCACTTGGGGTTGAAGCAGCTGAACTGGGCCTTGGTGCCCTGGGACAGGGTGAAGGGACCCGGAAATCAGCACAGACCTCTACCAGACCAGACCAGCAGCTTCCCACCCACTTCTGTTGGCCGGATTTTATTCTCTCCTTGGTTCACTGATGCAAATCATGGGCAAATGTTTGTAATCTCAGATGGCATCTTCCAGCTCAGACTGGGCCCCCTCCACCTTTTGCTTGTTTGTAAAGGATGCGACTCCTAGAGCTCATTGACCACAATGTCCTGCTCCCTAAGCTCTGGGCATTTTCTGCCATACACCCATTAATGTGACAAGCTACACCCAGCCAGGCTGCAGGCTGGGCAGCTAAGGGGCCACTGACCCAGATGAAGAGGAGTCAGCCGCAGGGCACTGCTGTACTGGCCTGTATCCTGCTTCTCAGCGAGGCTTTGCTGACAGGTGGGCCTGTTCTGTAATCCAACCTCTTCCTCCTTCCCCACCAGGCTGTTCTGAGTGGGGGCATGGTGGGCCTTGGAGCTTGGTCTCACCTTAAACCGGACCATGTAGAGTGCATCTGTCAGGCGGTTCATACCAGGGTGCTCGTCCCCTGTCTGTGAAAAAGAGGGCAGTGTAAGTCCAACAATGACTGTGTTCTAGAAGTGGGGGGCCTCCCAGTCTCCTCTTGGTCTCAAGTAGTGAGCACTCACCTCCAAAAAGACACCAATTACAGCCAGGCCATCAGGTGCGGAGGCAGCCTCCCCAAAGGTGCTGTACTTCTTGGCATTCCAATGAACGAGGTGTAGCTACAGGGGCAACAGCAGGGCATGCTAGCGCTCAGCACCTCCATGGGCAGTGGGGGCACTGACCCAGATGATGAACCAGACATCTGGCACCTTTGCTCAGGGAAGTCCAGGGGAGCCACAGGTGGCATTCACCATGCCCTGGATCCAACCCTTTCCTGAGCCCCAGGGGACTCAGAGGCCTCCGGCTCAGACCCTGCCCTCCAGTGAACTAGCTGTGAAACAGGTAAGGCCATGCAAGGTAACATCTCTCTGAGAAGGAGGTACTAGTAGCTAAGCGCAAAGAATAAGTAATGGGATTATCAGATGAAGCCCTTGGGGAAAGGCATTCCAGAGAAAACCCCAGAGGCAAAACACTGGAGACATGAAGTCAAGTGTTGGTAAAGGAGTCATCTATGGGGAGAGGTCAGTGGGAAGATGAGGCTGGGCAAGGTCAGCTCATGCAGGGCCTTGAATGTCCCACTCATACAATAGCAGGGAGTCCCTGAGGGTGTGGTGGCACTGAATTTGCTGACATAAATCTCCTCTAGGCACACAGACCAGGAGAGCAGTAGGCAGAGCAGGATGAAAGGTCTGCTCTCCAAGGCTCCTGAGTGTGCCCCTCACCCTATATAGAACCCTATACCATGTACCCTTCATGCCCCTGAGGGCCTAGTGCCCACTCCCCCCATCCCCCCAATAACAGAGGACTCAGGAGGACGAGACCTTTACCTCACTGGGGAACGGCTTGCCATCCACCGTGTGCTCAGAGCCCACGCCGTGCTTCTTACCCCAGTGGAAATGGAACTGCTTGAGCCGGTAGGGTCCGTCCAGGGGGCCCCCAGTCACCACTGAGGGCAGAAGTGGGGCAGAGTGGCATTGGGGTGAGAGGACCCACATGCATGACTGGTGTGCAGCCAATACCAGAGCAGCAGCCCAGAAAGGGGATCAAATTTTCACTGGAAAATGCATTGGGTCGATGTCTACACCTTGGGTCAGTCCCTGCCCAGCTCCACCCTTACCCCACCCTTAGTTTAGCCAGGGAGGAGATTCTGGCAGCCTACAAGGCCAGAGAAGTCTGGGGCCCACAGACAACACCTCTCTATTTGGCTATCCTTACCAATGCCCAATTTCTCATGGCACCTAGGCTCTCACCTCCAGGTCCCTACCCCCACTAACAACAGGCCTTCCATGTCAGAAGCCCTGACCTAGGTCTGTATGCAAAAGTTTATCTTATTTAGTCTTCATAGTAGCCCATGAAGACAGAACCTATTACTCTCTGTTTTATAAAGGTGGAAACTGAGGCACAGAGAAGGCAAGGCATTTGCTCAGAGTCACACAGCAAGGCACTGAGCTGGGATATGAGGCTGTAGCTCTAGAATCCAAAGGCCAAGTCCCTAATCACTAGGCTGCACTGGCTCCCCCAGAATGCTGCAACAAATGGAAGGGAGAATAAATGAGCCCCCAGGACGCAGTGTTACCCCAGAGGAGGGACTTGGTGGATTCCCATTCTCCTGGTCAGACCCAGCTCCCTCCAGTGTCCTCCTTCCCCATGACCTCTGTAGTGGGGCTTCCACTTACGTTGGTTTTGTGACTTTCCCACCCCACTGCCTGGTGAGCTAGGGCCACGCACAGGGCCTCCTGGGACTGATTGAATTTCCAGCTGAAAAGGATCTGGCCTGTAAGGGTACCCCAGCTAGGCCTGAATGTGAGCCCCTGGGTCAGGTGACAGTACTGGACTCAGAGTTCCACTGGGCCCCTCCACCATGGGTGACCAGAGTACCCCTTAAAGAGAGGATGGGGCAGTTTAGAAGCCCTCTTTGCTGTCCTGCCTAATCTGAGAAGCAGGACGTGTTTAGATGATGCTAGTCAGGATGACAAAGGGATTCTGAGGAAGGTGACTCTGGGCAGGCCCCCAGTCAGTCCCCCCCACCTCCCATCTCTGGGGGTCTGCCCCTCGGAGCATATCCTACTAGGACCTGTAGTGAGGTCTCCCTGAGTGAGAACTCTAACCTGGACACCTTGAGCGCAGCAACCCAGGCTTTGCCCTCTGTCCTGAAAGCAGGACACTACCATTCATTATACAGTCACTGTGTGACCAGAACTCTCCTCACATCAATCCACTGAACCCTGTCAGCATCCCTGACACTGTTACCCCCTGTGGACAGATGTGGGACCAAGGCCCAGGTGGCTAGGCATCCTGCCTGTGTCCACATGGTCAGCGAATGGCAGAGCCCCAATTATCTTACCTCTGAGTCTCTTTTCATTGGTTTCCTGGCATTCTGGATCATTCCACGCTGGACAATCAGTAGTCCAAAGGCATGCCCCTTGGCCCAGCCCTACCACAGTTACCTTCACTGAGCTACTGATATCTGAGCTAGCCATCTGAAAACTGCTCCTTCGTAATCCATCATGTAGGGTCATCTAGGACCCCATGTCCTCTCTCCAAAGCTGGGTTGTTGTTAAGTGCCGTCGAGTCGATTCCGACCCATAACGACCCTGTATAGGGTTTCCGAGGAGCAGCTGGTAAGCTTGAACCACCAACCTTGCAGTTCAAATGGCTTTGCAGTCTGGCGCATTAACCTAGAATTGGGTACCAGGAAGTGTTTGACTCTCTCCTGAGGGTCTGTTGGACTTCTTACCTTTTGCAGCAAGAACTAGAACTGATCCTCTTCTCTTTTTTGCTTAGCCTACTAGGGAAACTCTCTGGTAGCGTAGTGGTTACGAATTGGGCTGCTAACCTCAGGGTCAGCGGTTCATAACTACCAGCTGTTCCATGGGAGAAAGCCTCATCTTTCTGCCCTCGTGAAGATTTGCAGACTCAGAAACTCTGTACCGGGTCACTATGAGTCGGCACATAGCAACAACTAAGGAAACTCAGAGTTAAGTAATTATGATCATCTTCATCATGAAAGGTCTGGCTTCCCCTCTTCTCTGTCTTTTGATAAGTGTTTTCAGTGTGTTTGGTTGAGGAAGGGGAAGAGCTAAGTGATCTTCCTGTTCCACCCCCTATATCTGGTGGTTGTTGTTAAGTGCCAAAATTCCTTTGCAAGGAGCAGACCTGAGACCTCTGCCTGGGAATTTATCATGAAAGAACCTGCACTCTAATCCCAGGGCAAAGAGACTTCAGAAAAAGCTGCTGTGAATTGCCCCTAGCCTCTCTCTGGACCAACCTGGTTGGGGCCTCGAGGTCATGGGCAGACTAGGAAGAGACACCTCTGGAGCTGGACCAGGTGTGTTCTGAGAAGTTCCAATCCTTGAACCTCCATTTACCCATCTGAAAAATGGGTTCTCATGAGGAAAAACTGAGCTGCTTGAGACCTTAGCCAGGGGACTGGCACAGATTCCCTTTTGTCCCTACTGGTCCTGGCCACATCGCACAGAGAGCAGGTCAGTGATGGGGCAGGGAGTACAAACAAACCTGACCTAAAGTACTAACTGGAAGGGAAGGAAGACAATTAGCATTTCTTCATCATCTACTGTATGCCAGCACTACAAACATCATTTCAGTTTTTCAGGATTCCTCTCCACAATCCAGAGACTAGGTCATATTGCTCCCATTTTATGGATAATGAGACTGAGGCTTGGCCTAAGACTTCACAGCTGGTAAGAGAAGAAGTCCCCTTTTCCCATCCCAACATGCTCCCCTTCTGAGCCTGCCCAACTAAGATTAGAACCAGGGAGTACCTGGCAGGGGACACTCACCGGTGCGGTCATCGCAGTCACTGAAGTCCACCTGGACAGAGTGGCCATTGTTGGTGATGCTGAGGGACGTGCAGGCCTCATAGGAAAGCTCCAGGGGCTGCAGGCTGGGTGAGTATACAGCCTGACTAGACACGATGTTGATGGGTGACTGGCGGGCGCCCTGGGCAATGGGATACAGCTTGTGCCACTGTGAGGGGCCTGCAGGTGGTGGTGGGGGGTGAGGGCTCAGGCCAGTTCGGACCTCCAGACTGCAGGCTGAGGGCACTCACAGGGGGTGGTCTCCTTGGCATCCTTTCAGTGGTAAGCCCCCATTTTGGGGCTGCCCAGCCTGGAGTTCCAATATCCCAGCATTGCCACCACCACCCCCCACCCCCCAGCCTCCATTGTCTTGTCTGTGAAATGGCCTCACGAAACTCACCTCCCAGGGCTGTTAGTAGGTTCAGAGAAGCAAGGCATAGAAGGAAGCATAAATATAGCTACAGGCTCAGGGATGGGGCTGGAGAGTAAGTCTTCCCCTCCCTCCGCAACATCCAACACACACTCAGGGAGGCCCCTAGACCTCTGAAATTCCTGGCCTGAACCTACCAGATGCCTGACCTTCTCTTGCACCTGGAGAACCTTAGTGTAGGTGTTTGGGATAAGAATAACAAAAGCTCATGTCAGCCTAACTTTCACGTTATCACATGCATTTGTTCACTGCCTCCTTCCTCACAATCATCCTGTGAAGTACAAACTTCCATGAGCCTCATTTCACAGATGAGGAAACTGAGGGTGACATATGCCCATGTGTGGTCACATGCACGCACACACTTAAGCATTGGTGTAAAACACACAAGCTGCTCATGTACTGCTTGCTACAGCTGCCTTTCCCTGGCACATGCCTAGCAGTCCATACAGATCTTCATAAGGGCACACACGTGAGCACAGTGATCTGGGATCATCAGCAAAACACATGTGTACAAACACACACATAGCCCTGCTGACCAATCTGGCACGTGCACACACATTCTCACACACAACCCTCCCCCCCCTTGTTGCAAACCCAGGTCTGCATGAAGGCCCCTAGCAAAACACACGCCCATGTACACCCACACCTGCACACCCACACCCACGGGCACCCACCACCTGCCTCCCTCTGCAGCTAAGAGGCTCGGCATCTCCCTGGGGAACATCCTGAAATGCAGTCTATTTTTAGTGTCATTGCCGGCTGGTGCTTCTCCCCCTTTTTGGCTTCTTAAGTTTTCCTGGGAAAGCAGCAGCAGGTGCCGACAGAGCAGTGTCCCCAATGGATGACTCAGAATCGTGGTTCGGCCCCACTGGGTTATTTTTGAAGTCCTATGAGCACTGCTATATGCCAGCACCTCTGTCTTCCTCTTTCCTTTCCCTATTGTCCCTATGCTGGGCCATATAAATCAGCTAGGTGAAGGGGCGGATTCAAAGCTGATGGCAGGGCTAGCAAGGAGGGCTGGGGGCAGCACCTGGGCTGGAGGACTCAGGATGATCTATGGGTTCTATCAATCGGCTTCTTCTATGCCTCTCTTCATCTCTGCCTCTCTGTGTGGCCATTCTGAATGTCTTTTTTCCTCTTTCCAGCTCCTGCATGCTCAGAAAATCTAGGGTTCCTCCTTTCAAATATGTTCCTATTTCCTTGGGGTCCCAGAGTCTCCATAGCACCTCACAGACTCCCCCTGGTCCATTGCAAACCCCTAACCCCCAGACTTCAGTCCAACTTCACCCTCCCCCAAGTGTAACTGCCTTTTCAGGGGAAAAGTAGGGATGGGGACTGCATTTTCTATCAGTACCTTTCCCTTCTTCCCACCCCACCTACTGCCCAGGTATCCAGGTTCCTTCTCCGAATCTGGATCTTGGGGTTTTCAGAGAAGAGGAGAAAATACTTCAGGACTTCCCAGACCTTACCCCCTCCCCACACACACCCTTCCTTGATGAAAAATAGCCCAGAATGGAGTTGACCTGCCCTAGACCCACACTCAAGCCATCTGGCTGCCACCTTCTGCCTCTTCTCTCTTTTACTGCATCCTAAGGAAACTGAAGCAAGATCAAACCAGGAGGCCGGTGTGACCCACAGGTTCCCACGGCTGACACCCACACAAATACGTGCTGCCTTCCCTCACCAGCCAACACGGTGCTCGGACACTTCCGCAGGGCAACTCTCCCGGGGACATCGCACCCTTGCCCACGTAGAGTCGAGCTCCCCCAGAGGTCCCAGCCAGGCTGTGCGCGCTCCCCGCACAGACACCCGCGCACAGTGCTCCGCCCCGACCACCCCCGGTGGCCCAGGGCCACCTCCACCCGATGCGCACGCCCGGGAAGAGTGAGTGAGCACGACCGATCGAGCACGGCAGACAGGGGCTGCGCGGAGGAGGCGGCAGGATCCGCTTGCGGCGAGCCCACCAGGCTGCAGCGAGGACATTGAACCGAGCGCGGGGGATTCAGGGGTCAGGCCCGGAGGATGTTTCGGGCTCCTGAGACTGGACCAGAGGGAAAGAGTCCCAGTTCCGCCTGGAGTTGGGGGCTTGAGGGTCTGGGATCATCGGCTGAGCATAAGGACATCGGGCGAGATCAAGAGGGTCTGGGTGGGCGGGGGTCTGTGCCTACCGTCGTCTTGGCCGTAGCCCCAGCCGTGGTGGCCGGTCATACCGCTGCCGTCCCCGCAGCAGTGCACCTGTGTCGGGTCTCGGTTCCGCTCGCTCGGACTGCGGCTCCGGCCCAGCTTGCAGCGCAGAGCAACCTCTTAAAGCGGCGGCGGGCGGGAGGAGCGGTTCCCAGGGGCCCAGCCCCGCCCCCGCCCCCCAGCAAAGCGAGAGAGGCCGGCCCTACCCCGCCCCCCGTCGGGGCGTTTTGTATGCCTCGAGTTGAAATGAGGGGTTAAGGGGAGACAAGCCTCTCGCCCCATATACATAACCCAATGACTTGCCCTCACGTGGATGGACGCTGGGGGCTGGCCCTGTTCCCCCACACCTCCTCCTGTTCCCAGGCTTGTCCCAGAGCCTTGAATACCACCTTCAGAGACCTGGGCTCTGAACCTTAATGGAACTGACCATCAAAGACCAGAGCTGGAGCGTTCCCTATGTGCCAGACACTGGCAAAGCCAGACCTTTCTCTCATTTAACCCTCTCAGCTGTCCAATGACATTAGGCAATCCAGAACTTCCTAGGGTCCAGAAGGTGGAAGTTCCTTGCCCAAGGTCATCCAGTCAGAGAGGGAGGTAGTCACACCCATTCTCACATTCATTCACTCACTGTGCTCTCAGGGTAAGAGGGTCCAGTGAGTAGGGGCATCTGGGAGCTCTGGGGTAGAGGCAAGAGGCAGGACTAGTGGGGGAATGGGAGCAATCCAAACTCCTGACCTGAGTGGAAGCAGAGCCCCCAAACTAGGGATGAGTGACATCAACGAGTGGGCATTGGAACCAACAGACACCAACTGACTTCCCCATAGAACCTCCCACCTTTCATTCTCCTCAGTGTTTCTTCCTCTGCCACTGACTCTGACTCTTCTTTTACAACAGCTGTTTGTCCTTCCTCTCCTTGGTGTGCCATGACTTTCAGCACACCTGCTGACATGGGTCAGGCCCTCCACCCTGTCCTCCTTTTCGGTGTCTTTGTTGGCCTAGTATTTTCCCACCAACGAGCTCTGGTCCTTGCTGTGCCCTCCACCCGGGATGCCCTCTGGTTCCCACCCACTGGCTCCAGCCAGCCCAATATGATTCATCTAAGTTATGGCCCCATGCCAAGGACAAGGCTTGTCTCTGGCTAGGCCTCAGCACTTTGCTTTAGGAAGACAGATGGGTAGATGGGTGGACAAAGTTTCCACCTGGACCCCTGGACCCAGCAGGAGTAGAAGATAATGACTTCTGCTGGACAGACCTTGACCAGACTGTTTCATGGTCCTACATGTGGTTGACCTTGTCATTGAGTCTGGTGTCCACTTTGCCTGGCTGCCCCACAACTTCATGCCTATCTCAGTTTCTCTCTCCCAGACCCTGAACTTCAGGTCCCTAGAAAGAGTTGTGGAGATTAATTGAAGACTGGTTGGCTGGGATGATGTTAGTGACGTTCTAGTCCATTTTAGATGCCTCTCTCTGGTCCAGAAGTGGGAAGGAGCATTTAATATAAATTTGACCCTGGATTGAGGCAGGGAACTTATGACAGATGCAGGTGGTGACCACATGTGACAGACATGCAAATACTGTCAAGACCCAAGGCCTCCAACCCAGGAATAACATTTTCAAGACCACCAGCCTCTATTCTTCTGGGAGCATCCAACATTCTTTGGAACCAGAGGATGGGCTCAAATGTGAGTGATCCAAGCCTTTCTATACTTATTTATAGTATTTAAAAGAATACAATTGGGAAAATTAGTTTTCTGACCAGTTTCACCCACAAACTAACCCTGGGAGGGATTTTTACCCTATTTTACAAAGGAGGACTGCAAAGCCCAGAGAGGTTGTGTATTGGGCTAGAGGGTACACGTGAGTGACAGAGTCTATTCCACATTGTTGTCTAAAATCATGGGAAGAGGGAGAAAGTGCATTTTCATTTGATTCTAATTTGCATATATGTATATGCCATCCTCAGTCTTATTGTGTTTGAGCCTGCCACTGTGATTTGCTCCAGGGAGAAGATCTGATCCGGAAGGGTGAGGGAGGATGTAGAGAGGGAGTGGGAAGGACAAGGTTTACTGCTGACTCCTTTGTACCTTTTGAAAGAAATAACAACCAAATAAAAGTTAATCTAGTTCTTTCCTTCCTGTAACCTTTCTTCAGCTCTCCTGCTCTGGCTGCTGGGAACCCAGGCAGGTGAGAGGGACCCATGAAGTCTGCTCTTCTCAGTAAAGCCAATTGTTCTCACAGCCCACTATAGTCGATCTGGAAGAGTTCATGCCTCCATTCAGGCAGACCCAGTCTCAACTAGATGCTGACTTTAAAACTGAATTGATTTCTATGCTCAGGTTTGGGAGTTTGTTCTTTGGTCTCACACTGGCATAGGTAGCTCATGGTTTGGGGGAGAGTTGGGGGAGTGGAAGGGAAATGACAAAGGGCCCAGTGAGAAAAGCATGAGCAGGTTACACAGCCACACCTTAATTGTCAAGCAATGTTTGGTCAGATCAGACTTCCCCTTTCTGAGGTACAGAGTCTGTTCTACAATGAGGTGACCATTCATGTTCTGTCCCTTTAAGACTATCTCTATGCACATTGGTTAGACAAAAGATGTCCAATGCTGCACCAATAGGCAGAATCATGCCTCCTACTTATAGTATGCATAAAGTCAGTGGGCCAGGCTAGAAGCCTTATATCCTAGAGAGTCTAATGTTTAAAATATAGTTCCTTATATTTTTTAAATGTTTCCATTCTAAGGGTGTGTTTGTATATGTGTGTATCCATGCAGTGGAATGGGCTTGATCTGTGGACTTAGATAGACCTGGACTTGGCACCTAGCATCACAAGCTGTGTGACCTGAAGCAAGCTACTTAACCTCTCTGAGCCTGAGTTTTCGCATCTATAAAATAGGAATAGATAGTTTATAGTGCTATAGGAGAATAACAGTAAATTGATGACTATGAGGCTCCTGATACTCTTTTCTTTCCCTTAGTTTTTGGGCACATTTAAAACAAAAAACATCCCTTTACAATGTTCTACATCCTACTTTGGTGAACAGCATCTGGAATCTTAAAAGCTCATGAGTGGTCATCTAAGGTGCAACTATCAGTCTCTCCTTGTGCAGAATAAAAAAGAGTATGAAAATTGAAGATGCTTGGAATCAACTAGTCTAAAGGACCTATGGAGCAAGTAAACATCAGTCACCATGACTCTGAGTCCACAAGAATTAGATGGTGCCTGGCCACTACTACCAACTGCTCTGAAATGGATCACATCAGAAGGCCTTGGATAGAGTGGGAAAAAATATTACACACACACATTGTTGTTGTTGTTGTTGTTAGGTGCCATTGAGTCGGTACCGACTCATAGCGACCTTATGCACAGCAGAAAGAAACACTGCCTAATCCTGGCCCAACCTCACTATTGTTGCCACGCTTGAGCCCATTGATGCTGCCACTTTGCCAATCCACCTCGCTGGGGGTCTTCCTCTTTTTCTCTGACCTTACCAAACATGATATCCTTCTCCAGTGACTGGTCACCCTGACAGTATGTCCGAAGTATTAGAGATGAAGTTTGGCCCTCCTGGCCTCCAAGGAGCACTCTGGCTGCACTTCTTCCAACACAGATCTGCTTGTTCTTTTGGCAGCCCATGGCACTTTCAGTATTCTCCTCCAACACCATAACTCAAATGCATCAATTCTTCTATGACTTTCCTTATTCACTGTCCAGCTTTCGCATGCATATGAGGTTATTGAAAATACCATGGCTTGGGTCAGGCACACCTTAGTCCTCAAGCTGACATTGTTGCTCTTCAACACTGTAAAAAGGCCTTGTGCAGCAGCTTTGCCTAATGCAATACATCATTTGATTTCTTGACTGTTGCTTCCATAAGTGTTGATAGCTGATCCCAGAAGAATGAAGTCCTTGACAACTTCAATCTTTTCTCCATTGATAAGAATGTTTTTTATTGGTCCAGTGGTGAGGATTTTTGTTTTCTTGACATTGAAGTGCAATCCATACCGAAGGCTGTGTTCTTTGATCTTCATCAGTAAATATTTTAAGTCTTCTTCACTTTCAGCAAGCAAGGTTGTATCATCTACATATCGCAGGTTGTTAATGAGTCTTCCACCAATCCTGATGCCACGATTTTCTTCATATAACCAAGCTTCTCAGATTATTTGCTCAGCATACAGGTCGGATAAGAATACAACCCTGTTACACACCTTTCTTAATTTTAAACTATTCAGTGTTCTCTTGTTCTGTTCGAACAACTGCCTCTTGGTCCATGTATAGATTCCTCACAAGCACAATTAAGTGTTTCGGAATACTCATACTTCGCAATGTTGTCCATAATTTGTCATGATCCACACAATCGAAAGCCTTTGTGTAGCCAAAAAAGCACAGGTAAACATCTTTCTGATAGTCTCTGCTTTCAGCCAAGATCCATCGGAAATCAGCGATGATAGCCCTCATTCCACAGCCTCTTCTGAATCCAACTTGAACCTCTGGAAGTTTTATGTCAGTGTATGCTTGCAGGCGTTTCTGTATATTACCTTTAGTAAAACTTTAGTTGCATGGGATATCAAAGATATTTGTCCAATGATTTCTGCATTTTGTTGGGTCACCTCTCTTTGGAATGGGCACAAATATGGGTCTCTTCCTATCAGTCAGCAAGATAGTTGTCTTCCAAATTTCTTGGCATAGATGAGTGAGTGCCTCCTGTGCTGCCTTATTTTCTTGAAAGATTTCAATTTTTATTCCATCAGTTCCTGGTGCCTTGTTCTTTGCCAATTCCTTCAATGTACCTTGGACTTCTTCCTTCAGTATCATTGGCTCTTGATCATATGCTACCTCTTGAAACAGTTGAACATCAACCATTTCCTTTTGGTACTCTATGTATTCGTTCCATCTTCTCTTGATGCTTTCTGCATCATTTAATAATTTGCCCAGAGAATCCTTCAATAAAGAAAGTTGAGGCTTGAATTTTTTCTTCAGTTTTCCCAGCTTGAGAAATGCTGAGCGTGTTCTTCCTTTTTGGTTTTCTGACTCCAGATCTTTGCACATTGTATTGTAATATTTGGCTTTTTCTTCTCGAGCT